CCCCCCCCCCCCCGTCACATGGGGCCCCAACCCCTGCTTCGTCTCTTCCCATTCCTTTCACTTCCCCCACCCTTTCCCCCCCTACTTCTTCCCCCCCACTCTACTCTGTCCACTTCCCCTCCCATCCTCATTACCTCTTCCCCCCAGTTTGTCCACATCTCTCCTAAAGTGTGGTGCCCAGAACTGGACACAGTTGACGTCTCACCAGTGCCAAGTAGAGTGTGACAATTACCTCCTGTGTCCCACATACAACACTCCTGTTAGTGTACCCCAGAATCATATTCACCGTTTTTTGCAGCTGCACCATATTGTTGGCTCATATTCAGTTTTTGGTCCACTGTAACCCACAGATCCTTTTCATCAGTATTGACACTGAGACAGTTATTCCCTGTTTTGTAATTGTGAATTTGATTTTTCCTGCCCAAGTGAAGTACTTTACATTTGTCTTTATTGAATTTCTTCTCCAATTTGTCAAAGTATTTTTGACTTTTTAACCTATTCTCCAGAGTGCTTGCAACCCTTCCCAGCTTGGTGTCATGTGAGGATTTTATAAGCATATTCTTTACTCCATTATCCATGTTATTCTTGAAAATATTGACTAGTGCTGGACCCAGGAATGACCCTTGTGGGACCCCATTAGATACACCCTCCCAATTTAACAGCAAGCCATTGATAACTACTCTACAAGTAAAATCTTTCAATCAGTTGTGCATCTACCTTGTAGTAAATTAATCTAGATCACATTTCCCTAGTATGATTATGAGACGGTCATGTGGAACTATGGTCAACAGCCTTACTAAAATCAAGGTATGTCATGTCTAAGGCTTCCTTCCATCCACTAGGTCAGTAATCCTATCAAAGAAGGAAATTAAGTTGGTTTGGGATGATTTCTTCTTGACAAATCCATGCTGACTATTCTTTATAACCCTATTATCCTCCAGGGGTTTACAAACTGACAGATTAATAATTTGCTCCAGTATCTTTCCAGGTATGAAGTTGGACTGACTGATCCCTAATTCCCCAGGTCCTCCTTGTTCCCCTTTTTAAAGATAGGGTTGTCCTTCTCTAGTCTTTCCGGGACCTCTCCCATCCTCCAGGAGTTCTCAAAGATAATTGCTAATGGTTCCCAGATTACTTCAGCTAGTTCCTTAAGTACCTTGGCATGATGAAATTCATCCTTTGCTGATTTGAATACATCTAAATATTCTTTAATCTGTTCTTTCCCTATTTTGGCTTGTATTCCTTCCCCCTGGTTGTCAATATTAATTGACAGTCAAGGTCATCATTAACCATTTTAGTGAAGACTGAAGCAAAATAGGCATTAAGCACCTCAGCTTTCTTAATGCCATCAGTTATTAGCTCTCCTTCCCCGCTAAGTAGAGGATCTACACTTTCCTTCATCTTTCTCTTACTCCTAATGTATTTAAAGATCCTCTTCCTATTGCCTTTTATGTCCCTTGCCAGGTGTAACTCATTTTGTAGCTTGGCCTTTCTGATTTTGCCTCTACATACTTATGCTGTTCTTTGGTATCCTCATCTATTTGACCATATTTACACCTTTCATAGGATTTCTTTTTAAATAATGACAGCTTATATAGAACTGATTCCTAACAAGCATGACATTAGCACCTTTTGCCATAACACTACTAAATTCTGATACAGCTAAAGCTGTTTAAATACAAAATCTGCCAAGTGATCACTTAAATGCAAGGAAATGTTCAGATAAGAAAACCTCTATCTACATTCATTAAACCCAAATACCACATTGTAACACAGGAAGCAGCCTCCAATAGGCAGAGGTCACTCTACAGAACCCTGCCTCTGCTTTCCCCCTCTTCAGGGCCCTCTAAGAACTCACTCAGTTCAAAGGCAGTTCAAGCAAACTTCTCCTGGGGTCCAGTGTATTGAGTCCTCAGGTGCACACCGGCCCTCTACACTCAAGCCCCAGCCCAGCCTCTGTATCCTGATAATCCACAATAACACAAGGTCTTCCAAAAACAGAACATTAACTCAAACAGTCCCAGCACCTCCTGTCTGCAGTTTGTCCTTCTTCACAGGCACTTCCAGCTGGACCCCTTGCAGTCTCTCCCCTGCTTGGAGAAGTGTCTCTCAGGCCTCCCTGCCTAGAGAGCTTGCCTCACTCTCTCCTGCTGCTTGAGTGTTTCTCCTGCTGGCTCAGGGCCCTGCAGAAGTCCTCTTGCAGCATCTGCAGACATAGCTGCCATCTCGTAGGCTTCCCACCTCCACTGCTACCTCCTGCTCTTTTTGTATTGGAATCACTGGCTTGACGATCAGCTGGCTAGATTGTCAGGCTCAATGGATAGTGATCAATGGCTCCATGTCTAGTTGGCAGCCGGTATCAAGTGGAGTGCCCCAAGTGTTGGTTCTGGGGCCGGTTTTGTTCAATATCTTCATTAATGATCTGGAGGATGGCGTGGATTGCACCCTCAGCAAGTTTGCAGATAACACTAAACTGGGAGGAGTGGTAGATACACTGGAGGGTAGGGATAGGATACAGAGGGACCTAGACAAATTAGAGGATTGGTCCAAAAGAAATCTGATGAGGTTCAACAAGGACAAGTGCAGAGTCCTGCATGTAGGAGGGAAGAGTCCCATGCACTGCTACAGACTAGGGACTGAATAGCTAGGCAGCAGTTCTGCAGAGAAGGACCTAGGGATTACAGTGGATGAGAAGCTGGATATGAGTCAGTGTGCCCTTGTTGCCAGGAAGGCTAACAGGATTTTGGGCTGTATAAGTAGGGGCATTGCCAGCAGATCAAGGGACGTGATCGTTCCCCTCGATTCAACATTGGTGAGGCCTCATCTGAAGTACTGTGTCCAGTTTTGGGCCCCACACTACAAGGAGAATGGACAAATTGGAAAGTGTCCAGTGGAGGGCAACAAAAATAAAGGGCTGGAGCATATGATTTATGAGGAGAGGCTGAGGGAACTGGGATTGTTTAGTCTTCAGAAGAGAAGAATGAGGGGGGATTTGATAGCTGCTTTCAACTACCTGAAAGGGAGTTCCAAAGAGGATGCATCTATACTGTTCTCAGTGGTAACAGAACAAGGAGTAATGGTCTCAAGTTGCAGTGGGGGAGGTTTAGGTTGGATATTTGGAAAACCTTTTTCACTAGGAGGCTGGTGAAGCACTGGAATGGGTTAGCTGGGGAGGTGATGGACACTCCTTCCTTAGAGTTTAAGGTCAGGCTTGACAAA